TCTATTTAATCTCCCGTCCGTCGATGGAGCACGGGACGATGGAAGCACGCTATGCCGCGTAGACTAATGAGAAGTGGGGTCGGTTTTTGACGTGGGGTATTTATTATTGAGACGAGCGTTGAAGCCGGTGGAAGGTGTTTTCTCTTTCTTCGCGAGTGCGAGAGAGGGTGAAATACGGAGGCGAGAGAAAGATAAAGAGAAAGAGCGAGAGAAAGGTTGCGCCTCGAGCTTTAATTACCTCTGGCGGTCTTTTGAAGCTGGAGTGCCTTCGTCTTTCGCCCCCCCCTTCCCTCCCTCTGTGTGACAATTATTATTAGCATTACGTGGTACTATTCGCGTCATTTTCCGCTGGCGCGTGTACGTATTATGCGACGGCATATGCACCTTGCACACGCACAAATGCACACGTCAGAATACGTTAGCGCTCCTCTCTTGTCCTCGAAATTGTTAAAGACCTCGTGGTTTCTTATCGCCTCGGCGCAGCGCACGAGTCTCGTAGAACGTTTTTTCTCTGTCTTTCTCTCCCTTTCATTCGGATATCTCTGCAAAACCCTGGAAAAACTTCCCACAGCGCGTGACGCGGGAAAGGGAATATTTGCTGTCTCGGGTATATTTGCTGCGGAAGCAAAAATTTCGCTTCCTTCTACGAACGTCTATCGAGTTAATCTCATTTCCTTCTACAATAATTAATCGGATTTTTCAATACAACTACTGCGTGTTTATCCTTAGAAAAAAGATATTTCCATTAGAAAAATTTGTATTAAGTATTCGTTTGTTTTTTTGTGCACAACAATTTAAATAATAACATTAAATATCTTTATCTTTTAAAGTGATATCAATGTGTGATTAATTATTTACATATTAATTATTTACATATTATAATGATAAATAACTTCTAAAAAAAGGATCTTACATAAAATCAGTTTTGGGCCCTCGGTAAAATTTTCTTAAATTGTAATATTATGTTATAGTTTTTGACTCATTAATTAAAAGATTGTTCAAACAAAACCATAAAAAATGGAAAAAATGGAAATTTGTTGTAGCATTATTTGAAAATTGCTATTTTCTAGTCTAATTCTATCATTAATTATACTGAAAAATATCTTTATCTATTAAATTATTCATTTTTGGATGACTATATTTTAATACTTGCACAAAATAATGAGATGAATCTGATGTAAAGAAGTTGTTTAAAAAAAATGTGTTTGCAAATTTATATTATATGCAAATTGCATAATTTTTTTGAAAAGCAACTATGTGCTTTTATTATATCAATTAGTTTATGTAATTATTCTACATAGAAGTATTAAATTACCAAAAAATTAAAATAGTATAAAAATTAATTTAATAGATATTTCTTCGTTTGATTAGAGCGGAAAAATAGTAACTTCCAAATGACAAAAATTTATCCATTTTTTCTAATTTTGCCCCAGGAAACTTTTGATCAGTGAATTAAAAACTATAACAATACATATTACAATTTAAGCTAATTTTATCAAGAGTCGCGGTTTTGTATCCCTTTATATATAAAGTGTATATAAAGCTATTCCATTAATATAAAGCTATTTAAAGCTTGAGAGAGAGGGGGAGAAGGTAGGGAGGGGGGGGAGGAGAGAGAGAGAGAGAGAGAGAGAGAGAGAGAGAGCTATTTTAATGGATCAATTCTCTTGTTTTTTTTTTCAGATGCGGTAAGTCCAAAATTAAATCTTAACCGTTAATGGATTTCGTCCATAATAGGGAAAAATGAATCAAGGTTAGTAACCAGATTACGTTTAATGATAAAGCGGTGAATAATCATAGGATCGAAGGGGCTATACAGTGTTTGCATGAAATTACGCGGTTGAGCGCCAACGACGATAGACAGTGTCTTCGGCATGTAGGACGAAGATGCAATCCTCTGGCGCATTAGCACCGATGCAAGCTGGCTATCAATATTAACAAGATAGTAATCGGATGCCAGATGTAGAGACGTTCAATCGATTATAACGGATAACTGCTCTCTTGAGAGACAAATCGATAGAGTACTGAAATGTGTCCTATCAGCCTCATTGTCGTTTTTCCGCTGACTAGTAATTGCACCGCAAAATTTTACGCACAAGCAGCTGCCTCGTGTTCGCGCGTTTTGCAAAAGGACTAAATACGCCGAGTTGATAATAAGGCCATGAATAGTGATGAGTCGGGATATGTCACATATTCGAGAAACTATGTCTGCATGGAATTTTAGATTCACGTCACGTTAGCACCTGTCCAATTATACCGCCATTAATCTTATGTTTAAGTTAATAATGTTTTCGATCGTTTTTTTCTCCTTGACATATTTTCGATGTAATCGAATTAAGATGAAGTGCAGCATATTAAATTGTTTGGCAGAAAGATTACTGAAAGATATATATATATATATTTATATATATATATCAAAGGCATTTAGTTAATTGGAATAAAAATAATAAAATAGAACGAAAATGTATTAATCTCTTTTAACATCATACATATATCGAGAATTAACTTAGATTTATTTAAGAGGAATTTAGAAAATACACTATAATTAAATAGATTAAATATCTATTTAAGCTCAAAATTAGATATTCAGATATATAAGCTTCAGCTGCTTGATCGTGACATTTCACACATTATGCAAACTGCTACATTTCAGATTCGTTGCCAAATTGAATAATCATAAAATTTTGATTGTTGACCGAACGTATTTTCGAGAGGGTCACCTCCGAAGCAGAAAATCGAGCGGATTAATCATTAAATATTGAATAATCATGAAGTTAATCGTGCGACGCGCGAGGTGTCTTCTTGCTGGCGGAGGGAAACGACAAAGTCACACAGTCCCTCGACGCATTAGCGCCGGCGCGAGTGGTCCATCAATATTAATAAGATCGTAACCGGACGAACGTGAATGTTAATAGAGACGGCCGATCGAATGGCCAATTTGCCTAGCGGTTAGGCGAGCTTTTTCGTCTCGCCTTTCAGGACGTGTATCGCCTCTTCTTAACGTCGTAAAGCGAGACGGGGATCGTCGTCGCATTAATGAACGGGTACGCATCGCATCGCTACGGAATCATCCCCCGAGGGGACGTGCAGGCGAATGAGGCTTAAAGTGTCGTAATAGCGACGGCGACGTGGTCCATAAACATTGCCCGACGACGGTAGACGACATTGAGTTCACTGGGAACGTGTTCCGTCGCCGTCGGCGATACTCGTGTGCGGCTCCCTCAAAGGTAAACGGTATCGGGCACATTTGATGTTTGCAGTCGCCATCATGTGGACAGAATCTACTCCGAGTGATCTTGGCTGATCGTTTGCGAACGAATATATAGGGTGTCTCCTATTCAAACTTCTATCTATATTTTTTCGGTTATTTATTCAATAAGGAACTGAGAAGAGGAAAAAATTTCCTAATTAAATAAGAGAAATTCTATATTTGATCTTTAGTGCTTAAATATTTCGGTGTGAATTTATATACATATCTCTTCTGCAAACCAAAATCTTTTTCGATCTTGAAACATACTCACATACGTGAATAGAATCAAAGTAATAATGTCATTTATTAAATTGATAAGCAATTTTATAATCTTTGACGTTGATAAGCATCTTATAAAAATAATCTGATGTTAATGAGACTCTTTTAAATCTGCGAATAGTTTATTACAAAAAATATTTCTTCAGCGGGATTCGAACCTAAAAAGAATTGTCTTTGTAAAAACATACCTATATTTGTTTTATCAAAATGATTGTAAGTCGCGGAACAGTAGTTAACTTTGGAAGTCCTTACATTTATGAGAGGTTCAATCTGGAAAATGCTCTAAACGTGGTAGTGGCGCATCGATCGCGGTTCGTATCGCTACGGATATGAACGGAATATACTGCTGCTAATGCATAGTACACGGTAATGCCGGTATCCTAACTTTACGGCGTCCATCACGAACTCGTTCCGCTCACCGCAGCTGCTCCCGCTAATACTTCAACGTGGGCTTCGCCGTTAGTCGAGAGAGACTCGTAGCAGATTCTCTCGCGAGCAGACGAGCGGAAGGCTCGAGGCATGCCGTAGGACGGGCCCGACAAAGTGGCGCACCGACGGTACGAAATTAGCTTACGGATTCGCGATAAGCGGCTTACGTTTCAAGCAAGGATAATCCCGCGCTTCGCAATCGATTCTTGATCGTCGAACACTTTGAACTTGCGCTCGTCGAATCTCGCTCAGGCGTATACGCGTTGCTTTAACTGCACTCAAATAGAATGGACTGCATTCTATCTAACTCCAGAATAACGATCTCAACAGCTTAGCCGAAGGAACGATGGCGCGATTATTTTGGGTCAATGAGATCGAGCCTATTTCGATCGTGCCGCTGTAACCGCGGCTTGCTATTGCAGCTGCAGCATCAACTGGCGTCGGTAAGTGTGCGAATCGACATCGGCATCACGTCATAAATCACGATAGCGGCGAATGTTTTTGCCAAAATGGTCTTCGCGTGCATCGATCCGATGGTCTGTCAGTTATAAAAAAACCACACAGTTTTTTGTACTCGTGTTATGCTACTTTGAGGTTCGATATAAGAATACGCGAGGAATTGGAAAAGTCTTCGAATTGAATGAAATCTCCATTTTTTTCGTAATTATTTCCTCTATATATTGCAAAATATTTACCAATTGCAGAGTATACTCAAAAGATATATAATTCGTTATTTTACTTTGATTTGATTATTTAAAGAATTAAAATTGAAAAACTACAAAATTTGCACGCATTATAAGGTAAGAGAACTGTTAATATAATTTTTTCATTTTTTGCATCTTATCATTTAAGTTTACGATAGTTATAATAGTTTAAGACACAGATTAGACCATTAGAGTAATAGGTAAATAATGGAGAATCCAATCAGTCCGATTTAGGAACTTGGTTGGAAAACGTCGAACAACTTCGTATCAGTGTTCTATACCAGTGTTCGTAATCTAGCGTCACGATAGAGAATCTTTAATTAAGTTAAGGCGCTCACCTCCTTTCCTTTGATGTCTCTATACCGAACCCATTTGCCCAGTCGCGGCCTCCAGTACTCCAACAGATACGCCTCTGCGAATTCAACACCCACGCCGTTTCCGAAACGGCCCTGGGTAGCAGTGGCCGTGATCAAGTGGATAGTATGAAGGTCGATCTCCAGCCACTCTCGAGCTTCCTGAGTGATTTGGTTCTTAGGACACCAGGCACCACCGAGGTTCTCCGATTTCAATCTATAACCATCGACAGTCGAGTATCGAATTAACTTTTGTATTGGTTATTTTGTGATATACCTTTAAAAGAAACATTAATGCATTTAAATATACATAAATTTTTATTTCATATATATGGAGAACCAATTTTTACGATTTTTTAATAATGATTTGTGATTTTTCAATTTTTTAAATAAAAATATAAAATAGCAGAAAAATATTTTCTTCTGTTATTTTATCTTCTCTCATTTTATCTTTATTATTATATCTTCATTAAAAAAAAAAATTGAAAATTATAAATCGTTATTCAAAAATGTAAAAGGTCACGAAGAATTTGATAACTAAACTATTAAATTTCTTAAAAACACATAAAATTATCGAAGAATTCTTTTCTCAGAAATCGAATTTCGAGTAGTCGCGTATACGCGCTTCGGTTCGATCTCGTCCGCTCATAAAAGTAACGATCTAATTAGATGTGAAAGTATCGAGTTAGTTCCTCGCCAGTACTGTTCATCTCACGCTATCAAAAGATCAACCGACGCGCGGTCGACCATCGAAGTCCTCTCTCCAAATTCCGATATTATCGCGTTTACGTGCGCAGGAACTCGAGGATTTCGTGCTCTTTCTTGAATGTTATTTCATTGACGCCATGTGAGCTGCGCGCGCAATGTGAATCTGAATTGCATTTTAATGAAGCTTGGAAGATCTAGAAATTAGTATAAAAAATAGTACCTCAAATGGCTTCCTTGTTTTGAAAGAAAACGTACATTCGTAATAATTCAAGGTCTTTGTAGAATACTACTTATACAAATATAACGAAAATAGTGCAAAATTACTATAAAATTACCGTATTATATCATGTTATTTATGGCGTGAGTTAAAATAGATGTTATTTGTCAATGGGGTAAGAGAATACGAGAGAAATGATGAATAATCATAGATATAAACGCAGAAATGGGCTTTCCGACTCATTCAGATCATCGAAAATCCGGAAGCTTATCGAGATTTCCAAAGTCCGGTTCGATTTTATCGACGAATTTACATAGGCGGGAAATCGGAGATATTCGGAGTGACCACGTATCATCTCGCGCAGGTGATATGGGTAAGATAGGAATACGCGCGCCATTTAGAATACGCGTTCAAGCTGTGCCCGCCTCGTGCTTCGGTTTTAATCTTCGAGGGGTCGAAAGCAAGGAGAGAGTTCTGCGCCGAGGCCGGCATGAATAAAACATGAAGCGCGAAGCGCCTTCCCTAATTGCGTGGACCGTTTAAATGCTCGAGTAAGAGTGCTGCTCCTTTTCGGCGTTACGCCGAGGATACGTATAGTTATATATATATATATATTCTTCTCAAATTGCAGATTAGGAATCGCCGCGTGAAATGTTCTCGCAGTTTCGGCGCGAGTAGCGCACTCAGCATACCAATATCTCAGCGTGCGAAAAAGAGTCTCAGAGGGAGATGATATTTCTCGACAATTGCGCCAACGAAGGGATGCTTGTTGGTTATGCGAGACATTTACTGCGATAAAGTAAGATAACACTTACAACGAAATGGCACAATAAACTGCATTATTACGGCGCGGGATGATGATTATAATAATCTTTCTCGATAATGAGAAATATAAAATAGAGCTATTTACGATGAGTAACGCGTTATCTAGGAATTGCGTCGCGACTGATCCATGAGGTGCTAACAATCATGCCTCACGTTCATCATTAATCGATAACACGGCTGCGTTCTCAACGGCGCGGCAATACGGCTGATCACGATTATAATGGCTGCTTTCGCGAGATTTACAACCTGCGTGGTGGAGGCGCCTCTTTATCGTTAACAACCGGCTTGTTCGGGATGATTAGCCGAAGGTAGAGTAGCAATGACAAGGCGTGGGTTCTATTATCCTGCAGCGTAATTTTATATCATTATGAGAAACGCTTATTTTAAGTAAATAATTTCCTGTTGGCGAATGGAAATTTCATAAAAAATTTTAAGGAAGAATCGATTGTAGCTTAATAATTATGATAAATATCGATCACATAAAGAGATGTTACTTCTCCTCCTATATATTGTGAGATATTGTTTATAGTATAGATGGTCGAATGGATGTTAATGAATAAAGAATCTTTTCATTAACCGGACAATTTTTTGCGAATTTACAACAAATACCAATCGATGCTATTTATTTAAAATGTTGCTGCTGAGTTTTAATTTCTGTACTTGTAGCATGTTAATGATAAGGATCTAATCGGAGTAAAACGAATAATGTAAATTCGACAGAAATGAGTAATGAATTAAAAGAAATATATTCAATCATGTTAAATGTTATAACGTAATGTAGTTTCTTTCACTCGATAAAAATATTGCGTCGTATTATTAGAATAAACGTTTATTATTTAGAATAAAATGAGTTGTTATAAATGTATTTAAATTACAAATAGTTAGAAACTGCTGTATTTTATATATAC